AGTTTTACTGTCGTCAACGACTCCTTTGTTCACGATGAAGCTGTGTGTAGCGTTATTCAGGATTTCAGTTCGCCGAATTTGATTATATAGCAGCATTGAGGAAGAAGCACACGACCGACCGACCGACCCCTCTGGGAGTGACCCGATTGACCAACTGGTCCCTCTGGGAGTGACCCAATTGACCAACTGGTCCCTCTGGGAGTGACCCGGTTGACCGCTTGACCCCTCTGGGAGTGACAAGATTGACCGATTGATCCCTCTGGGAGTGACCCGATTGACCGACCCACCCCTCTGGGAGTGACCCGATTGACCAACTGGTTTCTCTGGGAGTGACCCGGTTGACGGCTCGACCCCTCTGGGAGTGACAATATTGATCGATTGACCCCTCTGGGAGTGACCCAATTGACCCACCCACCCCTCTGGGAGTGACCCGGTTGACCGACCGACCCCTGTGGGAGTGACCCGATTGACCGACCGGCCCCTCTGGGAGTGACCCGGTTGACCAACCGACCCCTCTGGGAGTGACAAGATTGACCGATTGACCCCTCTGGGAGTGACCCGATTGACCGACCCACCCCTCTGGGAGTGACCCGATTGACCGACCGACCCCTCTTGGAGTGACTCGATTGACCGACTGCCTCCTCTGGGAGTGACCCGATCATACATGCCAACCGTGCAGGATTTTCCGGGACAGTCCAGGGAATAGGGTGTTTGTCCTGGTGTCCAGGGATGTCCTGTGAAAGTCCCGGGATTGAAATGGAACTTGAAATCGAGGTTTTTTCTCCTATTTATGACGCCTTTTCAGTGTTTCCTCGATCTAGATCCGTTGTAAGCACACACAGCACATAGTAGCATGTAGTAGAGAAAAAAACAAACATGTGGAACTGCAATGAATCGCCGGTATACCGGTGATCAACAGAAATTTTACTTGTCCAGTTGCAGCTCCATGCAATCACATCCTTTGTTGTGACTTCAACACTGACTTGCCACTTCAGCACCACCGTTTCAGCGCGATACATTTCAGCGCCAGTACTTCAGCGCATGATTTCACAGCGCCAGCTTCTTCAGCTCCATGACTATCAGCGCGGTAAAGTACAGCGCCAGCAAAAAGTAAGGCGCAATAATTTACAGCGCGAAGAAGTACAGGGCGAAGAAGTTCAGCACGAAGAAGTTCAGCGCGGTAGAGTCCAGCGCGATAAAGTACAGCGTGACGCAGTAGAGTGCGAAGTCAATACTTGTCCAGTCATAGTCGTTACAGACCATGTTCATACGTACATTGTATAATAAAATGGCGTTGAGAAACATGGCGCTTAGATCTGTGGCAGTGAGAAACATGGCACTTAGATCTGTGGCAGTGAGAAACATGGCACTTAGATCTGTGGCAGTGAGAAACATGGCGCTTAGATCTGTGGCAGTGAGAAACATGGCGCTTAGATCTGTGGCAGTGAGAAACATGGCGCTTAGATCTGTGGCAGTGAGAAACATGGCGCTTAGATCTGTGGCAGTGAGAAACATGGCGCTTAGATCTGTGGCAGTGAGAAACATGGCGCTTAGATCTGTGGCAGTGAGAAACATGGCGCTTAGATCTGTGGCAGTGAGAAACATGGCACTTAGATCTGTGGCAGTGAGAAACATGGCACTTAGATCTGTGGCAGTGAGAAACATGGCGCTTAGATCTGTGGCAGTGAGAAACATGGCGCTTAGATCTGTGGCAGTGAGAAACATGGCGCTTAGATCTGTGGCAGTGAGAAACATGGCGCTTAGATCTGTGGCAGTGAGAAACATGGCGCTTAGATCTGTGGCAGTGAGAAACATGGCGCTTAGATCTGTGGCAGTGAGAAACATGGCGCTTAGATCTGTGGCAGTGAGAAACATGGCGCTTAGATCTGTGGCACTGAGAAACATTGCGCTTAGATCTGTGGCACTGAGAAACATGGCGCTTAGATCTGTGGCAGTGAGAAACATGGCGCGTAGATCTGTGGCAGTGAGAAACATGGCGCTTAGATCTGTGGCAGTGAGATCTGTCGCTCTGAGAAAGGTCGCGCTGAAGTATTTGGCGCTGAACTATATGACGCTGATTTATGTGGTGCTGAGGTATTCGGCACTGATCTGCTGGCGCTGAAGTATACGAGGCTGAAATATGTGGTGCTGTAAAATTCAGCGCTTAGGTTCACGGTGCTGAAACACCGTGGGCTGGGGGATCTTGGAGTTGCACACTCTTGGTTATGTACTCTTTATAGTAGTGAGGAATGAGGACAATAGGTAGCTGGTCGTGAGAGAAGCAGAATATGAGATAACATGTAGTGAGGAGAGAGGGAAGATGCTAGTGAGGCACTGGTCTGCACCGTAACGTTTCATAGGGCATCGGTGGTTGTTTGCCAGTTCAGGTGCGGCAGATACTTGTTGCACTTTTCCTTGAAAGACTGGAGCTGTGTGGGTTGCAGCCCTGCAGGTAGGACGGCCGCTGGTAAGCTGTTCCACAAGGGTATAATGCAGTCTGGGTAAGAAACCCGGAGGCTGCTATGAGTGCTTTCCCCGGTTTAGGAGCCGCATCTGACGCCTGATCACGAGGTGGTGGCGTCCCACGGAAGCAGAAAGGTGGTTCTTGACACGCCCTGCACGCGAACCCGTGCAATTTTGTTTTCACCGCTGGCTGGTTAGCGCTGCTACCTATAAGCGAGAACGCTCTGATCATTTCAAAGGATCATTCGGGGAAGTGAACTGCCTGAAAAGAGAAAAACATGCCAGACCCACCAGGACTTGAACCCGGGACGTTGCTTGTCATGAGCAATGCTATTTTGCTTTTTTGTTTTTTTTCCAGGATGAGATCTTTGATATGGTCAAGCCGGTGGATTCGCTCAAAATTACACTGGAAGATCTGCTAAGATGGTGAGAAGCTCAAAGGAGAGGCTGCAGTGGCTGATCCTGGGGTGCCACAAAGAGCCCCCCCCCCCCCCCCCCCCGGAATTATGCGATTCAAGTAACATCATGGAATACAATCTGAGCTTCACTAAGTAGTCAAACAATATATTTCCAGGTACAGGTCGTCCCCCGTTAATACGAGTCCGGTTAGTACATAAACCCCGTTAGTACATAAGAAATCTCAAGTCCCGGACGAAACGTGGTCACTTCCATACAAATTTTGTCGGTTAGTACATAATTCGTTAGTACATAAACCCCGTTAGTACATAACATTTCTCCGTACCCGCATGCCACCTACCTCAATAATACATAATTATTTTGTTGCTCTTTCGGCCTTCCAGTGGAAGCACATTGTCTTCTAGTTTCTACTTGTGGACGCAATTACCTCAGAAATCAGAGCGCACATCACAAGCCGAGAAAGCTCTGTTTTTTTTCCGAGTGACTGTACAGGCGCGGCTGGGCATGTATCATGTAAACTGTAGAATCTTCGCTGACTGTGACCGTTATAACATAATTCTTGTTATGTTATATTGAGGGAATCAAGAATATCTCGCTCCCTGGTCATGGTAGCAAGAAACACTCAGAAAAGTTTTTAAAAAAGTGAAAAATTCTGGTACACACGCAAGTTATGTACACTTTCGTTTAGTACATAAACCCCGTTAATACATAACATTTGTCAAGTCCCAGAGATTATGTATTAACGAGGGACGGCCTGTATATCCAGGTACTGCTAGGCGATTCCAGGTGTTTTCCAGGTAATTCCAGGCATTTCCCAGTTGTTACCAGGTATTCCCAGGCGTTTCCCAGGTGTTCACGAGTGTTTCCCAAGTATTTCCCTGGTCTTTCCAAGGTGTTTTCCAAGGTATTCGCCAGGCATTTTCCAGGTATTTACCAGTATCTCCCAGGTGTTTCCTAGATGTTTCCAGGTATTTTCATGTATTTCCATGTATTTCCCAGGTATTTCCAGGTGATTCTGGATATTTCTAGCCTACAGTCCATTCAGAAAAAGATGGACTTCTAGCTTTTGGCCATAAAGGGGTCAAACTTTGAGTTTTTTAGAATGTTTTTCTGCAATCCCCTATGAAATCCTCTTGCAATTATGTTTCTGAAGTTTATTTGTCCAAAAAACAAGCCATCACAAGAATAGGATATCGGCCAGGTTTTGCCACAAAAAGCATTGAATTGGGAAAAACCATCAAAATCCAGGCCGTTTGACCGCGCCTGCAACAGTGCATTGTGGGGTTCGAACCCCAGTTCAGGTACCCTTTTTGGACCCTTTTTCAAAGTTCTAATTTCGCAGCACTGCACTGTGTACAATGAAATCACGAAAAATCGCCAAATACGGGGGTCGCCAAAGCCAGGGCCCATCTTTTTATGAATGGACTGTAGGGCGACACTTACGTAGGTAAATCCCCCATTTCGAGACGAGAGTGTGTGTTTGCAAAGTGAGCTTCCATTTAGACTTTCCATCAAACTGTGCTCTCTCTCTCTCTCTCTTTCTCTCTCTCTCTATCTCTCTCTCTCTCTATCTCTATCTCTCTATCTATCTATCTCTATCTCTCTCTCTCTATCTCTCTCTCTCTATATCTCTCTATCTCTCTCTCTATCTCTCTCTCTATATATATATATCTCTCTTTTTCTCTCTTTCTCTCTCTCGACATTCAGTGGGCAAGGTGACACGGTGATAAGTCTTCTCATCGATCTCAAGGGGTTCTGGCTTTACGAGAATCGAGAGCAGCTTGCCGCTGATCCGTCCCAACTCGACGCGGAAGACGAAGACGACGATGAAGTGGATGACATGGAGCTGGCTAGCTCGGTTCCTAGCGGCGGCCATGTTGGTAACCAAGGTGATGGTGCAGGCGGCCATGTCGGTAACCACGGTGATGGTGGTGGCGACAGCCAGGATGTCCTGCCGGTTGAGCGGGAGTTCCGCGAGATGAGCGTGGAGGATTTGGAGTGAAGCTGTGTGTGTGTGTGTGTGGGTGCTTGTGTTTGTGTGTCTGGCGTAGTGGATGGTGTACAGTGGAGAGAGATCTTAGTGTAAACTATGCGGGATTAGAAATTACTTTCTTTTTGCATGCAATGTACTGTACTGTTTACCTTACTGTGCATTGACCTTGATTCGTTTAATACCTTGACCATGATCTTTGTCTACCTGTCAGTCATGCAGGCTATCTGGAGATCATCACGAGAAAACGTTCTTGATGGAAATAAACTGTTCCTATGATGACAACTGTATAAACACACACATGTACTTGAGGCCCAGCGGTACCGGTCCCGTCTTGCTCAGGCCATGGCCGCACCAATAGTTTTGGCTACCGACGTGTGTGTTACTGCTGAGGAGGTCATGTGACGCGTGTGTTACTGCTGAGGAGGTCATGTGACGTGTGTGTTACTGCTGAGGAGGTCATGTGACGTGTGTGTTACTGCTGAGGGGGTCATGTAACGTGTGTGTTACTGCTGAGGAGGTCATGTGACGTGTGTGTTACTGCTGAGGAGGTAATAATGTACACCCTAGTATACCATCCATAGCATACACAAACTGTATGAAAGGCTAGGGTATGGCCGCCGGCCGGCAGGGACCGCCGGATTCTGCTCGAAAAGGTGGCAGATTCTGCTCGAAAAGCAGTGAAATTGGCAGAACCATACAAACCTTATGGCGGGCAATTCCTCGAATTCTGCCATTCCTCCATTTCTTTATCCACATACCAAACATGTAAACTTACCAGAAAAACTACCGAATTCTGCCAATTTTTCTGCCGGCAGAATCCGCCGGACCCTAATGGCCGGACCAATCAAAGACTGCTTCCGGCGAAAGGCTAAAGGGACAAGCTTTTCTATTTTTGCGGATTTTCTTTCATAAAAAAGAAACGTCACTGGCTGCTCTTCGTAGGTGTCCGCGTCCCAGCGGTCCGGGCAAGCGACCGCATCTCAGTGGGACACTTGGCCGTGGCCTTTGTACTGGAATCTGTGGGAGAGCCTTTTCAGGGACTACACACCTGGGTATCGGGTATGGCTCCTTTTTTGTTCCTTTCCTTTTTATTTGTTTTTTGCTGAGAAAGAAACGTTGCTGGATGGAAAGCTTTCTGTTCCCGCCATGCGCCAGCGCCTTTGCTCTAGTAAAACATTGCTGGCTGATAATGGTCATTGCTCGTGATGTCAACTTAGAAGGTGACGGGAAGCTGGGTTTCTTGCCATTTCCAACTTCCTGACTCTGAAAATGTAGCTTGAACTAAGAGCTCCAAATATTTCAGTTTTTCGATGTGCCAGACCTATTGATTGATTGATTGATTTTATTTAAGGATTGTCCAAAGGCCGCAGAGGCCTATCGAGGGGCTCTCCTGTGTACTGTTTAAGGAAAGGGAGGAAGAGAGAGAGGAAAGGAGATGAGTGCAGTGTATGGCTTGTTAATCAATACTGTCGGGAGAAAGCGGGAATACCAGAAACAGAATACATACAAGTAGAACATTCTTGCATGAGAGATGTACGGAATTGCCGGGGGTGTTCAATCTCCCGAATACACGTGGGTAATGAATTCCAAACGGATAGACAATGGAATAACATATGTTGACGGGAGTATGTGTTGATATGGGTTTTAGATAATAAATAGTAAGGTCTGCGTGGACTGGAACTGAGGGTGTAATGAAATTCATCAAGGGTATCAGGGCAGACGTGAAGGATGTGGTGGACTGTGCAGAGACACTGGATGTGGCGTCGCCAACAAAGGGACTGCAGACGAGAAAGTTTAAACAAGTTCTCTTTGGGTGTGTGCCAGTCAAGGTTTCGACTGCGGAGGATACATCTGCTGATGCGCGCCTGCAGTCTGTCCATGCAAGTTCTCTCAGCTTGCGTCAGAGAGAATGTCCAGACCGGGCAGGCGTACTCCAGCAGGGGTCTGACATACCCACAGTAGAGACTGAAAATGACCTTCTCCGGAAGACGGTGGGACATAAATCCCAGCAGACAAACTCGTTGCCGGAAGGAATGTATGACGTTCTTAACATGGGGCGAAAATGTCAGGGTAGACGTGAGTAATACGCCAAGATGTGTGTGCTCTTGTGTACTTGGGACGTCAGCTGTTGAAACTTGTAGCGGCGACGGAAGAGGTGGCGTTGATGTTGCCTTCGCATGGATTGACAAATGTGTTATGGCGGAGAGCCGGGTATCCACCAGTTGGGCACGAAAGAGCATATGCAGATTTGGAACCATTAAACTGGCCACCTACGGAATTCGCCCACGTCGAGCAAGACGTGAGGTCTTTCCGTAGCTCGGTGGGTGTGCAGGTGGGGACTCGCTCCTTCCCTACCGCTGTATCATCAGCGAAAAGGAAGAGGTCACAATACCGTACTGCTCTGGCAAGGCTGTTGACATACAGCACAAACAGCATTGGTCCTAGATGGGATCCTTGGGGAACCCCAGAGTGCAGCTTTCGCTGGTTGGATGTAGCCAGACCAATCTTGACCTCAATTGATCTGTTGAATAGATAGCTGGAGAACCACTCCGTAGTCTCTGGTGTACACAGGTTTTGCATGATGTGAACGAGGACACGATGGGAGACCCGATCAAAAGCTTTGCTAAAGTCCAAGAAGACGATATCATAGCACGACTTCTTGTCCATAGCTTTGTAGACTTTCTCGAGCAGCATAAGGAGCTGATCGGTTGTTGAGCGATTGCGTACGAAACCAAATTGCTGTCTGCAGATGAGTTTGTTCATGAATACGAAATTGGTTAGCTGCAGGTTCACGAAGTGGTCCAGTAGCTTCCCAAGAGCGGGTATCAGAGATATCGGACGGTAATTTGTGGGTAGATGTTTGTCTCTGTCCTTCTTCAAGATTGGGATGACGGTGGCAGTCTTCCACGCTTCTGGGAAGGTGTGCAAAGTTATGCTAATGTTGAAAAGGGAGGTGACAGATTTGGAAATTACTGATGCGGTTTCTCGGAGCAGCCTGTTGGGTATGCACCCTCCTGACGCTTTGCGAGTGGGCAATTTGCGTAGAACTTCAAATATGTCTTTTTGACGTATAGGTGTTAGTCAGAAGGGATCTGCTGGCATGGGTAGAGCATTCATTATCCAGCTTGTTGGTGTCAATATTGTGATGCAGGCTGCACTGCGCTGCGAAGTGGCTACAAAGCAGATCTGCCTTTCCTGTCTCTTCTTCGACATGCACACCATTGTCGTCAAGGAGGGCTGGGATGCACTGTTTGGGACGGTTGATATTACAGAGGGATTTTGCTTGATTCCACCAAGTAGCGGATTTGCGTTTCTTTAGGAGGTCGAATCCGAGTTGACGGAAATAGTATTTTTGGCTAGTCCTCAGAGAGGAAGTGAATGCATTTATAGAAATACGATACAGAGTCCAGTCCTCTGGGCGTCTGGTGGCCTTGGCTCGCTTAAAGAGACGATTGCGAGTCTTCCATAGTTTGTGGTGGTGTGACGTGAACCATGGTCTGCGGTTCTTCTTATGTTCCTGCTTTTGTTTAAGCTTAAGTGGAACATACTTGGCAACTGCGGCGATGAAGTAGCTTTCCCATACTTGCCAAGCACTGTCTGGCGAGGTGGCACCCTGCACGCATTCATAAAGAGGGAGACTCAACAGGTGGTAGCGGAGGGCCCGAAAGTCGGTTGCGGCGTAATCGTAAACGCTGGTGACATGTGTGCGTGTTCGCTGGGGTCTTATGGCTGTAGTTAATTGGAACAAAACTGGACAGTGGTCAGCTATTGGTGGAAGAACACGCATGTCGGATATACTAGGCGAGTTGTTCGTCATGACAAGGTCAAGAAGAGAGGACGTTTGTCCTGAGGCGGAGTAGCGTGTGGCTTGGTTAAGTAAAAGTTGATGTAGCCCCAAGTCATCAAGGATTTTTTTGAAGCTTCACACCTTCTACAGAGTTCTGAGTTCCCTGAAACCAAGAGTTCATGCGAGCATTGAAGTCTCCACAAAAAACGAGTGTAGCTTTGCATGCGTTCAGAGCGCTACCAACTGATGCGGTGAACTTTTCCAGGAATGCATCGATGTTCTGATGGGGAGGACTGTAGAAACAATACACAATGATTTGCTGTTTACCGACTTTGATATCTACACAGATGTTCTCAAAAGGTGGATCACACTCAAGTGATTTGCACCTATTGATGTAAGTTTCCAATGTCCGATGGTAGTAGATTGCCACACCACCACCACGAACCACGGTTTCGGAGTTTAATCGTCTATCTCGACGCAGGCAGTTGTAGCCAGGGATAGCTGTGTGTGCCTCCGAGTGGTTGGCGTTGAACCACGTTTCAGTAAGGCAGAGGATGTCAAGTTGTTGCGATATGAGCAGATGTTCTATCGTGTGTAGTTTCTTGACAGCACTCTGGCAGTTGAGTTGACCGATTTTCAAGCGGGTTGGTGGAGAAGTACTGGGGCCAGTGGGGGTGCAGGCACAGTAGCGCGTCGGCTGGAAAATTGGAGCATGTGGATTCAGTGTGGTGAGGGTGATTAGTGATGGTTGTCAAGATATTTGTACGGGACGTGATTTGCAGGGGTCATTGTAATGTAGGGATAACTAAAGTCTAGTGAGGTGATGGACCGGTGGTGTGAACATTATTGACCCACCCCGGGGCCCTGAGTAGTCATTGTTCGTTTACTGGCTAGAGAAACGTCCTCGTCTGGTGATATTTCTCCTGCTTCCAGTCTGTTTCGTTTTGCGGTTCTGATTGCTGAGTTTTGGCTTGCTTCGTTTGTGAGGTTAATAATGGGGACACTCGATTTCTCGCCAGCTTGGTGGCCAGAGGTAGAGCTAGAATTGACTGGCTTATGGCTGGGTGGTTCAGGTTTCTGGATGGGGGCAGTAGGGGCATGCTGGGAGTCATTTACATGTACGTTCTCTTGGATATGCTCTCCCTTCGTCGTTGTCCTGGGTCTGCTCTGTAGCTGTGGTATCACTGGTTCCGTCACTGGTCTGGTTTTGGCCACAGGTGTCGGGAGGTTGTACGGGTTCATTTGATCGCATACGTTGATCTTCGTGTAATGCACGGTCGCTGATGCTGTCACTAGTCTGGTTTTGGGTACGGGCGTCGTAAGGTTGTACGGGTTCATTTGATCGGGAGGGTCGGCCGGATCGGGTGCGTGGATCTGCGTGTGGCCCAGGGTCACTGGTGCTGTCATTGGTCTGGTTTTGGGCACGCGTGTCGGAAGGTTGTACGGGTTCATTTGATCGGGTGCGATCTTCGTGCGATGCCGTACCACAGTTTTT